AAAAAACCCCCCCCCCCCCCCCCCCCCCGATTTAGGGATCTCACAATTTTTTCTAAAAAATTTTCATAGTATTTCTGTTGATCACTAGTAAGCTTACCTTTTCTATGAAGAAATACATTAGTTTGCTAACTGGTGGCTACTTTGTTGAGGCCTGTTTGGTTGGCTGCCTATGAATGCTTAGAGATTACTCACGAGCAGCTGGATTGGGTTGCTCTTTGTTCCGTTCTTGACTTTCGTTCCCATAATTGTGTGAGCTACTATAAGCCAACCATTTCCATTTCTGATGATCTAGTTAGATAGTGCTGCTTGTTAATTTCCATAGAGTGGAAGTCAGGGAGGGAAGGAGTGCCAAAAGATCTGCCCAGAATCTAAATTTCTGGTATAAACCCTTTCCCTCTGCTAGATAACAGTACAGAAGCTTTTAGTTCTTAGGCTGATAAGCAGTGATAAATGAGCTTCGATGGTGAAATGCATATCAGGAGAATGTTTTCTTTCTGATGTGAGTAAATTGCAGTGTACCATGCTTGAATGATTTTAATATCTGCTAAATATTATTAGTGTTGCAGCAGAGAGAATGCAGTTTGCTGTTTGATATATTTTGTAACTACATGTTACCAGCTTTTCCTGCTAGTCTTGCTGAGAAGGAGTTTGAAGGTGACTTTACATGTTGCAGCTGAACTCACCTAGCAGCTCTGGTTGCTGAGATCAGATGATCCTCCTCCTGCTGCAGACAACGTGGTCATATATCCCTTTGTGGAAGCTCTCATTTTCAGTGAAGCCAAAGCCGCTTGTGAACCCAGGAAGAAGTTAGTAGTTCTCTGCTGGGTTTGCAAGTTGAGCAGGCTCAGCAAAGCACATGGCGGGGGGGGGGGAAATAGGAGCATGATAGAGGCAAAGGAGGAATGGGTTTAGCCTTTGGGAGCAGCAAGCTGTTGTGTTTAAAATTTAAGAAGGATGCTAAGGTACTCACGTGTTCAGAGAAGGGCAACAAAGCTGGTGACAAGACTGGAAGGCATGTCCTGTGAGGAGGGGCTGAGCACTCTGGGTTTGTCTAGTTTGGAGAGAAGGGAGGCTGAGGAGCAACCTCATTGCTCTCTGCAGCTTCCCGAGGAGGGGACGTGGAGACGGAGGTGCTGAGCTCTTCTCCCTGGGATCCAGGGACAGGACACCTGGGAATGGCTCGAAGCTGCATCAGGGGAGGTTCAGACTGGACATTAGGAAGCGTTTCTTTACTGAGAGAGTGGTCAAACCCTGGAACAGGCTTCCTAGAGAGGTGGTTGATGCCCCAAGCCTGTCAGTGTATACAAGGCATTTGGACAATGCCCTTAGCAACATGTTTTAACTTTTGGTCAGCCCTGAAGGAGTCAGGCAGTTGGACTAGGTGATCATTGTAGGTCCCTTCTAGCTGAACCATCTTATTCTATTCTATCCCATTCATCTGTTTATCACTTCTAAAATAATTCAGCAAGGGCACAAGCCAGCCCCAAATGAAATTTATGTATATTGCTGCTCCTTGTGCTTCAAGCAGAATTCTACTTATACCCTTCAGAGGTAAGGGACAAACTGTGCTTGTGCATGTTTCAGCAGGTTATAGATGGGGCTAACTAATAAAAAGAAGTGGGTTAAGATCCCACATATTCGATGCATCAAGGTGCTTTCCCCTTTCTACACCTATAACTTCCTTGTTCAGTTGCCTGCTCTGCTTCTAGGCTGCAGCTTCTCTTTGAAGTCAGGACAGATCAAGGGTATAACCAGCAGATCTATTAACTTACTAACTGGAGGCAGAGTACTCCATTGATCCTTGAAGCTGTAGTAACTGGTTCACCTCAGCTCACATGGTGTTTAGACATCAGTACCCCCCAGGAAGGATGGCTAGCTTGGCTATTGGTGTGAAATATTGTGCATTGTGTCACTGGAGAAAAGAGCATTTCAAAGCAAATGCCTCCATCCTAGCAAGGCCTGTGGATGTTTTTTCTTTATTGAGGAAGATACAAGCAGTATGTTTTTAACAGAGCAGTTGGGAGTAGGAGAAGCTCAGACTTGACTGAAGCTGTTTGTTTTTTCTTTCTGGTCAGCTGCTGTTTCACAGCTTGGCTAAAAACGGCCCCTGTGCACTCAGAGCTGTGTAGGCTGCAGCGTGTGCAGAAGCGGGCTGCGGGCAGCGTGGGGTCCCCCAGGCTGGACACCAGCACAGACCCTCAGGGTGAGGGCAAGGGCTGGTCCCCAGGGCCATGAACACTTGTGCTCGCAGGAAAGGTCTGAGCGGGAGATTGGCTTTGTTTGGTCTCGTCCGCTTCTCTCTTCTCAGCACTTTGGTGTTTGACGTTGGGGTCACAAAGGCTGGAGGTGTGCAGGGCAGCCCCAGCACTGCTTGCTGGGTGCCCATCTGCTCTTCACAGCCCTTCTGGCAGGGCAGCGCTGGAGGTATCCAAGTCCTGGCTGCCAGACATTCAGGCTGAACTGCTGCCTGCATTGGTAGAGATAAAAATGAGTAGATGGAGTAACTGGAGAGGTAACTCGAGTTTAAGCCTTGTTTAACAAGTAATTTCTCTCTATGTTTAGTCAAGATAGTGAGCAACAGGGATGAAAAGGATATTTTCCTCTGCGTGCGTGGATTTTATCAGTGTTTCTTTGAACATCTTAGGGGCCAAAAGCAAACAAAACATAAGCCACCCACATGGCAAAAATTCAATATGTTTCCCTGCTACACAGCTTGGCTTAAATAAATATATTCCATCTCTTCTGTCATCATTTATGCTCCAGTACACTGCTTTTGTATATAGAACCAACTCTGCCTCTGTCATTTGTGTGTGAATATGCTATCAGCAGAAACTATATATACATATGCTATATATAGTCTGTATCTATATGTAGGTATATGGAAATCTGACATGGACATGACCATCACCTGAATATTGAAGCTGTTTGAAATACAAACCTCTGTCTGGATTTGAGTTTTACAAATAAAGCATCTGTGGACAAAGCTTTGTTTCTTTTGCAGTCACATTAGGACATCAGTGTCTAGTGCTGATGACCACGTTTGCTAGAACTAAAATGAAAGGTATTTGTGAAAAATCTGACTGCAAGGTGGCCTGGACATCGGGGAGCGGGGTGCTGGTGCACCAGGGGCTGCGTTTCCACTGTGTGATGGGGTGCAAGCGAAGAGGAGGGGGAGAAGAGGCCATCTGGGGTTTTTGTTCTCTGGGAAGGACACGCAGTGTGTCTCTGCCCCAGGGATGCCTGAAGCCTTGCCTTGCCTTTCTGGCCAGCTCATGCCCCAGCAGTCGCAGCGCAGCCGGGGCTGTGTTGGGCACCTGACCGTGGCCCAGGGGCTGCAGGCTGGCTGTGGCAGCTCCCTGCTCCCAAGGGACAGGAACCTCTCTGCCAGCTGCTGGATGTGGTGCTGTTTTCCTGCTTTGCTTCTTGTTATGGGAGTCTGAGGCCACCTGGTAGCCTTATGGTTTGCTAATGCCTGTCCTTTCTGTCACCTGCACTTGTCCTGCTGTTTGTTCACTCTCTGGACTTTTGTCATGCAGGTTCCTCAGCTCTATTTTCTCCAACACATATGGTGTTTATTAATCTAGCATCAGCAGCTATATGTGGAAGAAAGTTGACATTTGGGAAATAAAACTT